TGTTACTGTCGTATGTTAAGACACCTCTTGACCACCACTGCAGACAAACCCGCAATTATCTCAAAGCCATGACTCTTGTGGAGCCAAATGTGGCCAATAGTCCAGTGATTAGTGAGAGCTTTGATAACATAATAAAGGCTTTCGGAGACAAAAGACAATACAAGGCATTGGTCTTAAGCAATGGTCTCAAAGTGATTGTCATCAGTGATGTGGAGACAGACAAGTCAGCGGCGGCTCTGGACGTGAATATTGGGTCCATGAGTGACCCGCGATCCGTGCAAGGGTTGGCCCACTTCTTGGAGCACATGCTCTTCTTGGGCACTGAGAAGTATCCCGAAGAGAATGATTACAGTAAATACATCTCGAGGAATGGCGGCCAATCCAATGCCTTTACGAGTGGTTCGCACACCAACTTCTACTTCGATGTCTCGCCTCAGTTCCTCTGCGGCGCTCTCGACAGGTCTCCCATCGCATGACAATCATTGGTAAACCCGTGCTATTAATATGAATTGATTGTCAGATTCGCGCAGTTCTTCGTGAGGCCTCTGTTCACAGAGACTGCCACCGATCGGGAGATGAAAGCCGTTCACTCAGAGCACGAGCGCAACATCGATGACGACGGCTGGAGACTATCACAGCTCGAGAAGACATTATCGGATCCCAACCACGACTTCAACAAATTCGGAACCGGTATCTCATTTCATGAGTTATTCGTTGCATTCATTTGAATTAATGGTTGACTTTTGATATCAGGAAATATGGAAACTCTGAAAGAAAGTCCTCTTTTGAAAGGAATAGATGTTCGACAAGAGTTGTTGTCTTTTCACAATCGCTGGTATTCGGCAAACATTATGTCTTTAGTAGTCTTAGGCAAAGGTGTCACTCAGTCCTCAGTTGTCTTTACCTTTAGCTTACATTTGTTTCCATTAAAACAGAATCCATCGAAGAATTGGTAGAAATGATAATTCCATTGTTCTCTCAAATCAAGAATAACGATACAATAGTTCCCAAATGGGATTCCCATCCATTCACTGATGAATATCTACAGAAACAATGCTTTATTGTTCCGATTCGTGATTCTCGCAGTTTAGGCCTAACCTTTCCCATCCCTGATTTGGTGCCTCACTATAAGTATGTCTTTTAATACAATATACGGTATTATTTTAAGAAATAAATCCAATGCCCAAACGAAAGGTCACAACCAGGTCATTATGTGGCACATCTCATCGGACATGAAGGGCCGGGAAGTCTACTTTCAGAACTCAAATCTCGCGGTTGGTGTACAGTATTGAATGGTTACGACAGAAGAGGCGCCAAAGGGTTTGGTTTCTTCAATGTTAGCGTCGATTTGACTGAAGAGGGAATTGAACGCATCGATGATATAATTACTTTGGTTTTCCAATACATTAATTTACTCAAAGTAATCATTAGTGGTTACCATTGAATGCATTACACAATATGTGTGAATAATGAATGCATTTGTTGTGACAGAAAGAAGATCCCAAACAATGGATATATGAAGAGGAGAAGAGAATCAAAGAAATTAAGTTCCAATTCAAAGACAAAGAGCGTCCCATGAGTTATGTCCGAGATTTGGCTACAGTTGTTCACGTAATGAGAGTCTAATCTGATGGCTATTTTGAGAAACTAACAAAACTACCCTCTCATAGGATTATCCATTAACGGAATCATTGAGTGCCGGCTATTTGTTAGAAGAATTCAGACCCGATTTAATAACTGATGTCATCAATCACTTGCGAGTGGATCAGATGCGAGTGGCAATTGTGGGCAAAAAGTTTGACACAATGGCCAATATGACAGAGAAGTGGTACGGAACCAAATACTCGATTCAGAATATCCCTCAAGAAAAGCTACAGTTGTGGCAAAATTGTGGATTAAGTGATAACTTGACACTTCCACCCGTCAATGATTTCATACCTTCCAATCTAAACCTCAAAACTCGTGACGAAAACATTGAAACAAACCCTCAAATAATCCGAAACACAGAGTTTTCTCGGCTTTGGTACCTACAGGACAGCAAATACTTGACGCCTAAAGTGTATTATGGCTTCGAATTGACTAAGTATTCAATTGATTAGCGTACTGTAAATGTAAGTGTTAATGACATGTCAATTGTATTTGAATGAAATGGTCAGCCCTGTAGCATACATGAGCCCTGAAATGGCCAACGCCACATACCTATTCACTCGACTGTTTCGCGACAGTATTAATGAATATTCATATTCAGCTGAATTGGCCGGACTTTTCTACAGCTTTTCGAGTACTAACAGTGGATTAATTGTATGACAAATTCAAGTGATACTAGTTTGCAATGTGTGCTTAACGTGTGTGTACTGTATTAATAGCTAGAGTTGGGCGGATATAACGACAAATTGAATATATTATTGACTAAAATCCTCAACAAAATAATAGATTTCAAAATAGATGCTAAAAGATTTGAAGTGTTCAAAGAAATCTATATCCGTGGCCTTAAGAACTACCCGACCCGACCCATGCATGAACTGCTCCGGTACTACACATCGCTCATCACATCTGAGAGATACTGGTCTTACGAGGAGTTGTTGCAAACGGCACACGAATTGACTGTTGAGAAGGTCTCGCAGTTCATTCCGCAACTGTTGTCTCGTTTCCATATCGAGGCCTTAATTCACGGAAACATTGAGAGGAGTGAAGCGCTTGAAGTTTGCGATTTGGTTGAGAACCAGTTCAGGAAACATCTCAATACAAGACCTATTCCTCTGTCCCAACACTTCCGCAACAGAGAAATACAACTGACAGACGGCTCTAACTTTAGTTACTCGACAACAAATGCTATCCATCAGACCAAAGCCATTCAGGTGTACCTTCAGATTGGAGTTCAGGAAACCGTCTCGAATGTGACATTAGAGTTGATAAACCAACTCTTAAACGAACCATTTTATAACACACTGCGAACTCAGGAACAGTTGGGATATTTGACATTCTCATCGCTGAGACGCACCAATGGGGTGCAGGGTCAGTTCATTTCATACCCGTCATTCACTTGTTTTCATACATTCATTGTTATGTCCATCACTTATAGGCATGACTTTTATAGTTCAGTCAGATTTGAGCCCTTCTTATCTGAACCAACGAATCGAAGCGTTCATCTCTTGGGCTGAAGTAAGAGATTTGTTATTTCATTATGCGGTGCCTTATATTATCATTTGATTACCATTTCTTAGAATTACATCAAAGACATGAGTGACGATGATTTCGAGTCCGAAAAGCAGTCGTTGATAACACATAAACTCGAAAAACCCAAACAATTGATTGGGTACTCGAAAAGGCTTTGGAGTGAAATCGATTCAAAGCAGTATAACTTCAATAGGGATGAGATTGAAGTGGATGTCATCAGAACGTTGAAAAAAGATGACATCACAGCCTTCTTTAAGGCACTGAACACTCAATTATTACTCAATTGTTTGTAAGTTTATAACATTTTCTCTTATCTCACAAAATAGAAACATCTGTTTCACGACTCCCCCAATCGTAAGAAACTATCGGTCAGTATAATGAACACGAATGCCGGCAATGAAGTGGACGTCAAAGAAGATTCTTCTAATGTAAAGGAAGGCCTCTTCCCGGCCCCCACACTAAAGGTGTGAATGCAATATAAATACGTTTTTGTCATTTGATTCAATTTATGATTTGAATCCATTTTAGGAACCGATAAAAATAGAAAATATGACACTCTTTAGGAACGGCTTAGCGTTATACTCACTGCCACAACCGGTCATCGATGTCTACCAAATAGAAAAGTCTAAACTTTAAACACATTTTTTAATACCGTAACAAAACTTAATTATTTAATAAAAAACAGTAGAAACAAGTCATGGCTCTTGTATTTCAGGCATTTGTGTGGTTTGTTGTCTCTTATCTTCGTTGAAATTAAGCACTTTTCGTTTGGTTTGTCTAATGAACTGTTGTTGTCTTAAATATATCTTAAGCCAACCCTTTGTTAAAATGAATGTAATTCCGCCCTAAATATGATTTATAATCAAATGAAATGGTATTATAATAGTGTGGACAATACGAACCAAAATGGTTTTATGCAAATTAGAGGCAATCATTTTATCGTAGAGACATCGGCCCATCTAATTGGTTGGGAGAATGTTATACACTGTACAGTACAGTACAGTACACTAATACAGTACATACCAGCCAACTAGCCGTAGGCATTAGGAGTGCCCCACAGAAGACCCGGCAAATGGAAATGGGATCCGAAAGACTGTCACTTGAATACAGATTTCTTTCAGCGCTCTCTCGAGTCTTTTCGGGGGGACTTCCGATCAGATAATCTAAGAATGGAATTTTGTGGTGATTTCTTCGCCATAACCTCAGCACCTGATCCTCCCATCGGATCAATTTCGATAGAATCAAAACGGCGGGAATGGCTGGTAATCCAATTAATAGCATAATTGAGTCCATCGACTCCAGCCATGTCTTGCCCTCCTCTTGACCTGACAGTCCATTCATACATTCTTTGGTTAATTCACTCAACCATTCAATGACTCATCAAATGTTTTACCCATAACTTGCATAACAGTGAGGGCTCCGTAACTAACGGCTGTCCAATAGATTGAGCCCACAATACAAGTGACCGCTAAGAATGGCGACGCTGTCAAAGATATTATCATGTATTGAGTGACACCTAAGAGTACCACAAAGACCACAAACCCGTATATATGAGTCGATCGCACCATTCAATTGTGAACAGAAATCGACCTATAATTAAGTGATTCACTGATTAGTCAACTATTATAGCCATAAAGAGGTGATAGTCTGGAGTGAGACCAGTGGTGGGAAAGAGGAGCAGATATTGAGTATTGCATTGACAGCAAACCACTTGCGCTGAACTGTTCAGCCGTTGCTTCTCATCGATCCATCGCTGAAGACACTGCTGGTGTACCCATTGGGCTGTCATATGGCATACAGTGATCAATGTGAATCATTACATCTATGGTCAACATTGGCACTCACCACTGCCTCGACATCGACACGGATGCACCCATTCATTGTCGTCCTCATCATCGCCTTCATTGGCAAAACACACCCAACACTGATGTCTGGCAATCAAATGAATGGCATCACTGTCACAGTCATCGTAATCACTGTCAGACAATCGCATACTTCTCTTTGTCGCTCATTTGCTGCTCAGAGGCACTGTCCACGGGATTCATGTGCTCATCCATGTGCTCATCCATGTGCTCATCCATGGTCTCCAGATCGAGACCAATGTGTTGCTCAACACTGGACTTACTGTCACTCATGTCAGTCATGTGTATGTCTCTGAAGTGTCACCCAATGGTCAGTGCGGTAGTGATTGTACGCTAAGATCACTCAATACAGCGTAATATGAATGCAATGAAAACAACAACAAAAGCCCACAAATGACGCAAACATTGATGTCTTCATTGAGATAACTGTCAAACTTTGATCATAAAAGTGATGATAACTTTGTTTCCATTTATTTGTCAACCCATAAGATATTAATAATTTTACTCGACTATCATTTTTCTTGTATTTATTATCCCGAATATAAAACTTGCTTATAGGGCACAGGTAGGTTAGGCACCGGTAGGTTAGCCACAGGTAGTGTACTTTTGTGCAAACACTACAATTCGTAAAATGACTAAATTATAAGTTGGAAAAAGTATCAACAATAATGCAATAGTTCTATGAGATCCTTAATACAGTGGATGCCAGGATGTATTTGGTTGGACCCAGAACAATCTAATTTCTTATTACAGCATCAAACACACCTAAAACACGAATAGTATTCACCATTTTAAAGTTACCTAACGAAAAAGTGAATTGCACCAATTTAAAAGGTTACAGTAAATGAATATATTCATTAAAACTCGTTCTAGATCAATTATACTGTAATATGTCTAAACTTTAGAATCTATAGATATAGGAATAATTTTAGATTGAAATCTTATTTATTTTACATACTCCATATTATGGTGCTTAAATAAAATTCTGATTCATAATTATATATGCTGATTAGCTTAACATTTCCAAATTCCCGATCTCTTATTTAATATTAACAAGTTTAACTGGCTAATTCCCATTAAAAGGTATTAGATTATTTTTGATGCTCTTTCCAACCGAATACAGATTGCCGTTTTACAACTTGTACACTTTCGGAACATAAATCATACCAATGTCAACTTACAAGTGTTTAATAAGTAAGTGGTCTCTAAGTATGAGTCCCTTCAGACAATTACATAAATACTAAACATAATTATTTATATTACAAAAGTTAGAAATTATTTAATTTAATTTTAAAAAGTTGCTTAAAATATATAAAATCTTATACAGTATCACAAATTATCCGCAAGAGAAATTACTAATCACAATGTTTTTAAGTACATGTTCATACTACTTATTACTAAAATTAATTTTATATTTATTCTGTAATGTGCCCCTTTGTAATGTATTGTGTAATAACCCCTTTCATAATAATTGAACTGTAGTATAGTTACTATATAGTAGTATTTATTACTGTATCTATGTTATGCTTTATCTATTTAGAGAGTATTCGCTAATCTTTTACGATCATATAATATGGACACTAAATAAAAAGAAATTAAAGAGTTTTAGATTTATCATAAGAATATTCTTTAATACATGTATCATATTAGTGATACGATAAGGTACAGCACAATATTGTACTAGAGTTACCAGAATTTAAAGGGCATAAAGAGCTGATATAACATCGGAGTATATATACTATATTCGTATCGGTGCCCTGGTCATTTATTCAATATGTTTCTAATTTTCTAAATTTTCAAAATTGTTAGAAATTGTTAAATATTTTTATGACAACATTTGCAATACCTGTACAATATATAAATTATGGTACTGTATTAATTAAATTGAATTTTTTTCTAAGTTTAATTTTGATAATTTTGTAGAATTTCGAATTAAAAAATAGTACAAAATAGCATAATATGTATATTATACAGTAAATAGAAAATGTGTCTGGATAATTGGATAGACAAGTTGTTTTGTAGTGTTCTATATTTTCTTATATGAAATGAAACTGAAAATAGTTTCATATATTTTATAATCTAAAAATATTTAGCATTTAAATTTTGACAGTTAAATTATTATAATTATTCACTTTAATAATAAATAAAAAATTAACTAATCATGCTAATAATATTATATAATTCATAAAAAAATATTTCAATTTAATCTAGAAGATTATCATTTAAAATTTGTGAGCTGTATACCAAAAAATCATCATTAAAAGCAAAATGCGTGAATCACATTGGTAACAATCAAATATGGTATATTTTCGATACTGGTCTAACTATAAAGTTGATAGAATATAGACTTTCAATATGACACCTTGGTGAAATTTTACATTTTCCAACTTGCTCAAACATTATGGGCACATGTTATACTTATGTGATATGTTTTCAATGACTAATATTAAGTATTACAATTCTGTATATAAATGGAATTATAATTAGAAGAAAAAACTTTTATTAGTTATTTGTTATGACTTCAGAATAAATCTAATTAAACACAATACACTTCTAAATCAATTTCTATTGAATCATATAAATAAAAATCAAAAATCAATTGAAAACGATTTTAGAGTGAAATGTGAATTGATTTTTATAAAACAGAATCAATTGTCTGATATAGAGGTCAGAGGCAGACATGGATTTTGTATGAAATCAATGATACGATCGCAGTCTCACATAACGTTACTCTCATTTCAATTGCTATTATAACTCATCATATAATCTATTATAAAGTATAGTATTATATCATCTTTCAGTTACCATTAAAAATAAACCGAAAATAAATATTTAAAACTCGTTTCAATTTATAAATTCTTTCCAATACTCCTAAACAATTGCGAGAATATTTGTGCATCCCTGTGCATCCCTGTGCTCCCCTTTTGCATCCATGTAGTTGTGGTTGGGAATAAGCAATGCATGTCTATTTGAATACAAATACGGTATGAAGTTATATAATAATAGCAATAGAGTTCTGTAGTGTAGTGTAGAGTGTCGTGTGATTGCGGGGAATGGGAGATAAGTGTATGGGAGACAGGTATGCTCAGCCTGGTATAGTCACCCATTGCAAGCTTATGAAGAGATGGTAGAGTAGGGTATTGTGCGCCGGCTCTACACTCTGTACGCTCTTCTCGACTCTATTTCCTCCGTTAACCTCATTCTGTGTGTCGACTCAAAAAAGGTTGAGTCGAGTGAAGACCAAAAACAGAGCAAAGAGAGGAATGGGAGGAATGGGAGGAATAGCTGTTCTCTACAGTATAGCAACATTCAGTGCATTCAGTGCTGAGACTGACTGTTAGGTTGTGTGGAGAGAGAGAGAGAGAGAGAGAGAGGGAGAGAGTGACTGAAGTGAAGTGAAGTGAATGCAAACACTGAACACTGTATGTATGGCTATGGCTATGGCTATACTGTATAGCTGTATGTGTAGTACAGTTAGCACTGTATGACTGCACTGTATATGAGGTACAGTACTGTTAGCTCTTGAGGTGAGCCATTGCTAACTGTTTGGTGATTGAGACCACAATTCGTGCAATTGATCCACAGATCCAAACACATCCAAAGAGGTGCCACTGTTGTTGACTGAGGAGTGCAGTCGTATTGAGTGGTGTGTCTTATGGGTGATTGTGATTACAGCTATGGATCTGCAGTCAGTGCCACCACTTCTGTATCATCTGTAGGTCACGACTCATACTCACAGCCATTGCAGCCATTAATACAACCATCAGTTGAGGCGTTGACACAACTGTCTCACGACTCTCTGGACACGAGTTGTTCCCTCTTTTACGGCCACTCATCACTGGAATCGCAATCTTGTGGTGCGAGTGAATCGGCGGTCGCTGTGAATGGACTGCCGTTAGAGTCGTTTGAATCGTCAGCTGATTCTCTGTCAGACCATAGTTTGGGTGCAATAAGAGTACAAAATGAAGAGTTGGTCGCCAACGACATCACTGAGTGGTCACAAATCAATGTCAATAGTATTCATTTGGTCGACACTAATGCCATGGATTCACCAAAAATGCAAGATTTAAGTGAAGTTACCCGAAGACTGTCGAAGTCGAGTCAATCGCTACCAAAAACAGACACCGAAAGCAACGATCAGTGCATTGAGAGTCAGATCAAGGGATCAGTGAATGGAAGTGTTGGAAGCGGTGGCTCTGTGAGTAATGGCAATACCTCTGCCAATGGTATTATTGGTGATAACAGTCATATAAGCCAAACACCAATCAGTGACTCTTCAGTGATCTCAAGTGAACAACAATTCTGGTCAACAAATTGTGTGATCAATACAGACACCGATGTCTCGCAGCAGTCATTCATTTCTGGCAATACTTCGGCCAACGCTGTGAACGGTGGCCATCAGTACGGGCCATACAGTCCTAATATGAACAGTTCGTTCCCCACGGCTACCAGTGCTGTTGAGCCACCACTGTCTCAGTCGCAACAGTCGTCAGCCCAGAGACGGGCCATCACAGGCGCCCACAACTTCTCCAACGCGCTCACGGCTACCCGACCCTCACCTCAGTCTCAATCTTCTAGTCTCTTCAAAACCTACACCAGTGCTGGCAATTGGACGGCTCAACCGCCACAGCCCTCAGCCACCTCTTGGTCCACAGCTGTCTCCCAGCCGTCGCCCAATTCAGGCAACCCCTGGGGCTCTCTTAACATGAGTTCCCAGAAACGGGCCGTCACTGCAGTGCCAAACGTGTCGCCCATTTCGCCGATGAAGAAGTCGCCGCCGGCTATGAATCAAACCACGCCATCAATGATGATCTCGCCCTCAAAGTACAGGCGCAGCTCATCCATGCCTTTGGCCAAACAGTTCGCCACCGGCCCTCCCAACACACCCTTCGACCTCCAATCCATCGCCAGCGACACCAACTCATCCTCCAGTGAATCCGCTAATGTCCTGCCCTTTCAGGTCAGTTCTCTCTCTCTCTCTCCCTCTCTCTCCCTCTCTCTCCCTCTCTCAACTCTAATATTATTTTATGCGAGATATTCACTGATTAGAAGCAAATTCTGGTCATTATTTGCTCATAACTTAACTGTACTACACATACAGCTATACAGTATAGCCATAGCCATAGCCATACATACAGTGTTCAGTGTTTGCATTCACTTCACTTCACTTCAGTCTCTCTCTCTCTCTCTCTCTCTCTCTCTCTCAAAATTGTCAAAAATATGTATAATGTGTATACAATTGCAATTAACAGTGAATACAGTATAGTGAATGAGCCTGCACATCTGTACATAGAGCACATAGCACAGCATCTCATAGCTCACTGCACACCTCCCATATGATAGATGATATAAGAAAGTATTGTTATATTCATATTAGTTGAATATGTAGGTATGAAAAGTGATTGCCATAAGGAAGTTATGAGCAAATAATGACCAGAATTTGCTTCTAATCAGTGAATATCTCGCATAAAATAATATTAGAGTTGAGTTCATAATATGACTGAAAGAGCTATCGATTATTTGAACGAAAATTCATGAAAGTATTGGCACTCAGAATAACATTAGAATATAATGTATTATTCTGTTATATAATATATACTGTACTGTATATACACCGCTTGTATCAATTGCAACAAGATTTTAAATATACTATTAATTATACCATGTTATATAAATTTTTGAATTATTTATTCATTTACAATTGACCACAATAAACATGTTAATAATTGTTACATATGTTAATAATCTATAATAATTGTGGAAATTGTCCGATTGTTTAATAGGAAAGACAAATGGCTGGTGGAATGGGATCGGCTACCAGTCCTTTAGATACTCTTCGCTTTCCTCTCGAACAGCAACTCTTGGAAATAATCCGCACTTCTGGAGATTCTCAGGACCAGTGCAAAGGTAGGCCACACACTACTAACTGTCCACTACTTCTCACCAAATAAGACAATAAGAAATCTTAATTAATTAAATTTTATTGTTTACCATTTGAGTTCAGAGTTACGAGTTGTTTAACAGTATTAATTGTTTAGCATTTAGGACAGTTTGCTCATTATAGTAAATTCTTGATTCCAATTTTAAATTCAACAAGGTTATAGGCACTGAACATGTACTTGTTATCACTGAATATGTTAACTATTGGGAAATTGGTGTAAATGAACAAGAATTTTCATATGAGGTAAAGATAGTTATCTAATCTGATAGTAATACTGCTTAAGTGATGCCATTTACGAGATAGGAGTTTAAATGTTACTGATGAAATTTAGAGATCATAGAGTCTATGACATAGACTACAGAATACATGTACAGTATTATGCTACAGAATACAAGTACTGTATACTCTATTGAATACTGTATATTTATAGCTGGAAAATATTGTGTCCAATATAAGTGACTGTAAGTTGTACAGTACTGACAAATTGTAGAAACGGTCTAAATGTTGAAAAAGATTCAAATGACGGCTAACTTATTGACGCAACTTATAAATTTATTGTTTAATTTAATTTGTTGTATAGGTTTTGTAAACTATAATCACTCGGGTCTGCAGTCAATGTCACAAATTCAAGGTATTTATATTATGTTCATAATTGTCGGTAATATTGTTGTTAAATATATAAATATATCAGTTTTTAATAAATGAATCAATATTTACTTACTAGTTAGAAATTTAATTGTCAAAAACCTTGTGTTCTTAACATTAGTTTAATCAATAAATATTGATTTAAACAAAAATGTTTTGAGATAAGCTCATCTTAATTTTATAATTGTAATATCTTATACTGTAAATTATAATTTAGTTAACAGGGGTGATTTTTAAAAATTTAAATAAGAAATAATACTTGTAATTGTAATTTGTATTTATGAATATCTTATAAATTTGCAACGGTGTTCGATTACAATTTGTTTGTACCAGATTATAAATTTTTGAAAATTATTACTGTTTATAAATCAAATATACCGGTATAATAATAATTTCTAAATTTCGAGATTTAAACATTTATCACTTACTTGTAATGAGTACCGGTATATCTTAAATTTTGTTCGTAAAGTTTTTCAAATTAATTTGAATCGATACTTATATCATATTTAAAAGACGTTTTATTGCTTTAAACATGGTACATTACTCATATTTTTAATTATTTGTCAAATGATTTTCTTTTGACTGATTTATATGGTTGTTGGTTCAATCGTATTGAAATCTATGATATTTTATTTATTTATTATTAACTCTAGTCCACAACATTACACTATCTTATGAATTAAGTAATAAAAACCTCTGTCTATATTTAGTAACTAATTTAATTCAGTACCATTTATTGTAATATAGTTGATACTTCATTTTTAAGTAAATGATTATAAATTTAATGGTTTAATGAGCACTTTTAAACACAATATATTTAAAGTTAAAATTCTGAATGAACTAATGTTTGAATAATTGCTTTGAAAGGCCCGTCATTTACATCTTTTGATGACTTTTCTGGAAATAAAAAATACTTCAGAGGTAAGCATTATATTTGAATATTTGTTTATTGTCATCTACTGATTATTGAGCTATGAATATGAATTGAAAATAGTTTTAAAGGAGTTACGTTAGTTTATTGAACTAAATAAATAATGGTTATCAATTAAAAGCAGAATAGATATGATGAAAATTTAAAAGATTTTATAATAAGAGTATTTATTTGCATTACAAGCGGCCAGAAATTTTGGACGTCGTAGAGGTACTTATTATTATTAATAAACAAATCGTTAAATTTCTTATTACTTTTTAAACTGTGATATTTCCTAATTGTTTGTTTTAGTGATTATAATATAACTGTCAGTTTGTGTATTAATGAATTAATTTCAAATGACATTTCAGGCAAATCTCCATTTTTTACGGGAGTTGACTCGGATAATCATATATTAATGGACTCTAACCAAGGTATAGGAATACATAAATATATAACAAGTTGTTTGTTTGATAACTGATTTGTTTGGGTTGACAGTTGCCGGTGACAGCGGTGAGCGCTTCTCAAGAAAAGTGTTTGTCGGAGGACTCCCTCCAGATATAGACGAAGGTTTGCAAATGAGATGACAATTGAAACTACTTTTACTTAATATAATTGATTGCCATTCTTATAGAGGAGATAACCGCCAGTTTCAGACGTTTTGGACCTCTTGTGGTGGACTGGCCTCATAAGGCAGAAAGCAAATCATATTTCCCACCAAAAGGTATTTACTTTGAAAGAATATTTAAAATCATTGATTCGTATAGTAATCACTGTTGTATTGGTGGACAGGCTATGCATTCTTGTTATTTCAAGACGAGTCATCAGTTCAGGCGCTAATCGACGCCTGTATTCAAGAGGACGATAAGCTCTATTTGTGTGTCTCCAGTCCTACCATTAAAGACAAACCGGTATTTATCCAAGTTTTGTCCACATTTCACTCAAATTGGCGCATTTATACAGTTAATTGTTGTAAACATGTTTATACCTTAATGTGTTTAATAAAAATAGGTACAAATTCGACCCTGGCGACTCAGTGATGCTGACTTTGTTTTGGACGCATCCATGCCACTCGACCCCCGCAAGACTGTGTTTGTTGGAGGAGTTCCTCGTCCTCTCAAAGCTGGTATGAATAAAAGCTTAATTTATTATCATTTACGTGTTTATACAGACATTATGTTTGCTAATCACGTTTGGTTCAACCAAATTGCAGTTGAATTGGCAATGATTATGGATCGTCTGTACGGCGGTGTATGCTATGCCGGCATCGATACTGACCCAGAGCTCAGATATCCGGTACTTATAAGACACTGGAGAAAGTTTGACTGAATTTGATTGATTTGTTTGATGGTTTGTATGTAACAGAAAGGGGCGGGTAGAGTGGCGTTCTCCAACCAACAGAGCTATATCGCTGCCATCAGCGCCCGCTTTGTTCAGCTACAACACGGAGACATCGAGAAACGGGTCAATCTATTTACTATAGTGTTGTGTTTATGGGTTATTAATGTTCACTATTATTGTATTTTAGGTTGAAGTCAAACCATATGTTTTAGGTATGAGAGCTTTTATAAGAAAATTGTAACAAATGAATGACAAAACTGTATTTCATTGAATAGATGATCAGATATGCGATGAATGCCAGGGCGCGCGATGTGGCGGCAAATTTGCGCCATTTTTCTGCGCGAATGTCACATGTCTTCAGTACTACTGCGAGCACTGTTGGGCTACAATCCACTCAAGACCTGGTCGTGAGTTCCATAAGCCTCTGGTTAAAGAGGGCGCCGACAGACCTCGAGCCGTACCATTTCGCTGGTGTTAAGGCAAATGCAGTTTAGGCTTAATTCAAACCTCAATAGTTGTTGACTAACAGTAGAGATAATTCGTTATATAATAGTCTTATAGTCGTGAAGACAAACGACGAGATTTTGCGCTTAATATATATTTATTGTTATTTTATTTTTACTTTTATTATTTTTTATAACATTTTGACAAAAATAATTTTGATCTCCGAATAATAGTCGGTTCGGGATTAGGGTTCGGGATTAGTCTGTTCTTCACTACTAGTCTCTAATCGAGTCCTTCAATGCCTGTAAGGGTCGACACTTGACTTCTCATAACTTATCGACAGCTAATCATTGAAGGCTTTCTCATGTTAGCCTAAACTCAAAACAATTTAATTATTTGCAAATATTTTTGTAACAATTGTTATGATTTTTATAACCAATTTTTTAGACAATGAAGTGTTTTTTATTATTTTTTTATCCATATATTTTGCCAAATCATTCAATGATTAGCTCTCTATTTGTTATGAACTGAGAAATTCTTAGGAAACAGTTTGTGATAAAGTTGTCAAAAGCGGGAAAATGTACTCTAAATGTGATTTAGTCGATGGGCTGAAACGTACAGTAAGTCATTCAATCATTACAGGCATTAAATTAATGGTTAAGATGCGAGTATCAAATTTGTCTACATTTTTGAGCTCCTGTCGCGTTAGGAAAAAAATGTTTGTCTTATAGATATAAGTCTTTAACAAGTCTTTAACAAGTCTTTAACTGCACTGAACTAATCATAAACTAAATATCAATTGAATTCATTTGATTGATATCTTGACCGCAAAATATTTCTAATTCTATAATACTATATATCTATATATATTATATAACTACAATAGTAGTATAATGACCGTAATATGCGGTACAATATACTGTATAACGTTAGTACTAATCTTATTACCTGAATACATTATACAGTATACAGTATGTCTCTATCCTTACAACACTTCACAACAGTCTTTAAATAATTTATTTTTCGGCTATTCTGTGATGTCTTCATCTCTATACCTGTTATTAGATTTTATAATTTTTTATATTAATTTACTCTTCGAAACAATGATTATATTTTATTTTTAGGTTTATTTTCAAGTATTGCTGTTGACTCGTGGTCAGTCAGGCCTGTGTTTGCAATAAGAATGGCCTTAAAAGCGATTTTGAACTTTCATTTATCCCCACATTTGCTAATTGTATGACAGGTTTGAATGACACGAATTTTAGGCTAAATCACGACTAAAGTCAGTTAAGACTAGTCTTTCACTTAAAATTATTTCTATTCTTATATTTAAAAATATTATATCGGATTAAATGAAACTTAAGATTTTTTGTGAAAATGCGAAATTCATATAAATTAAGAGATGAACTAATATATGAGATAATAGATTAATGATTCATATAAATATGAACTCAAGTTTTATTTTCAATTAAATAACAATTCAATAGAAATGAAGTCGTAATCAAAATGTGTGATCTAAAGCGATCGCAATTATGAGTTAATATAATTATTATAATTCAATAGTTCTGTACTTTAAAACAAATCTCATGTTATGTTTGATTACATTTTTCAAACCAATGCCAACCATTGATGAGTTGGAAGCGATCCATATCTCGATTACAACGATATTTCCTCTAATATACAGCACATGTATGTCTTGAAAACAGTCAGAAGTAAACAACTGAGAAATTAGTGACAAATGAAATCCTAACAGAAATCTAGTCGACAATCACTTCATTTCTAACAAACAAACAAATGAATAAATATAAATTTAATATATTTTTTCTCTATTCACCCCTTTCTTACTTAAGCCTAACATTCATATGTAGGACTAGTTTTATGGCAAAAATTCTATTCAAAATAGACTTTATTTAAAACTTTTTATTAATTAACCATTTTGAAATAATAATGACGAAAATAAGTTTTTAAGAGACTTTACAAACTTATAAAATGTTCAAAACTTGTCATTCATTGTTAACATTTAGTATCTGTTGTGAAGAGACGAGACTTTTTGAGAACCCAAGAGATAGTGTCCTCTAATAAATGATATAAAATCATAAATTTTTCATGAAATGTAGAAAATATGGAATTCTTAAGTGATTTATTGGAAATCATTTTTTAGTCAAACATTCATTATATTGAATATAATAGGAGAGTATTTGATTTTAATATAAAAATATCATTAATATAACTATTAATATAATAATATTTATTATTATTGCTGTTAATAACTATTACTAACTTATTATAAAAATGAGTAGCAATTAGTCGACTGTCCAAATAACCCGCAATTTGTATTGAAGTCACAATAATCCGGTGCAGTTAACCCATTATTCATGATAACGAGTCTCCGATTTTGAAGAGATTTAAATTTTATGAAGTTTTTCATTCATATGTTGTCGTTAAGTGAGTAAATGTTTACTGAATTTGAAACTCTTTTGTCAAAAGTTTTTTGGTGTCTGTTTTTCATGACACCAAAATTTATACTTTTTTAATACATTTAATATAATATACGACAACATATAAAGTGAAGAATCATTTTATTTTTGCTGAAGTCGTTAATATATTTCTTGAAATATCTGTTTAATACATATATTTATCGAACTTTTCTTTCATATTACAATACTTTTAATAAATAGATTTAATTTTTTGTTTAGTTTTTATTGATTGTAAAGAATTCTTAGCAAAACAATGATTAGACAAATACAAACAACTTTTGTAATTATCGTTAAATTTACAGATTTTTAATGTTTATGAGTATAATATAAATATTACTCTCTTTTGGGATAACTATGAAAACTGGCGTTTTTTGAACAGTCTTTTTATGTATTCATACGAATAATACAAATAATTAATTCTTCGATCAATTTATCAATTTTTTTCTAAACCAAAACAAATGACATCCAATCCCTCAAATTATAAACATTTTAATTTTATAGACTTTTTGTGTATTTATTAATACAATATGTTTTTATAATCGACTTTTTCATCACTTCTTGTTTTTCTTACGGTGCTATCAATTGATTGTAAACAACTTTTGGACAAAATATCTAACTTTTCGTAACCCATTGTCAAAGCAAACAAAATGTCAATTGATATTAATATATAAATAGGTTTTATGTCACAAATCAATGTTGAGTGCGATTCCCCTATATTTGATTTCATACTTTTGACAATTATTTTGATTATAAGATTGTTTTTAAACTTTTTTACTCATATCTCAAATGATTGCACTTTTTTGCATTCGTTTTATTGATTACTAATTGTTTGTATTTATATTCAAGAAGTGATGAATGAATATTTGATTCACATTTGGTTTACATATAAAATTGATAAGAGTTTGGCGTTTGTTTGAATCTTAACCGAAAATAACTGAACACTCAATCAAACTCTGTTCACAATTACTATTAACCCAACAAACAAAACAAAACTAAATTTATTATATTATTACCATTAAGTCAATTGCTGTGCAATAGTTGTGTCATTTTCGCTACACATTTAACACTTACGGTATATTTAAATCATTTATAATCTATAATTGAAAACACATTGAATAAAGTGTGACTTTTATTTATACAGTTTTTTAGTCATTTTGATGATTAGTCAATAGTCAAGAATTTTTTAATTTTTTGAATTGTTTTTTGAGAAAAGTTCTCAGTATTAAACAATTTTCAGACTTTTGTTTGAGTGCCTCTAAAACTCTTTAATATAATATCCAATTGTTTTTATCATTATTATTATTATTGTAATAAATGCTGAGAATTAATCTCATGTTTTTATATGTTTTAATATTAGTCTTTATTTTAATTTCTTGTTTTTAATGATTTTATTATAGCTTTTGTACGTTTATATAGAATTGTATAATCATTTGACGATAGAATTAATGCTTTTTATTATATTATAGTTTGTTTCTATAATTCATGTTATTATAATTCATCAGTTTTTCTCAAGTTTTTTTAAGACAAATGTCGATATTTGTTGTACTGAACGGAGTTTTTTGGATTTGACTTTTACTGTAATTTATTCTTAAATCATATTTCGATGTAATCATTGGATTTTCGAATTAAAAATTGCATTAATTAACAAAAAAAGTATATTTTATTTATTAATACTTTTACAGATTTAAATAGTAATTTGAGTAATTCGTAAGAAATGAGAATAAATTAAATAATTTCTGAATATAAAGTTAACTCAGTTTTCCCAACTCTAGTTTCTTGAATATATTGGACGCCGTGAACACCAGTGAGTCTATAATGCCGGCCACACTAAACGTACCGCCGATTATAGCGCAGATCATTGTCACAAAACTATACAATGGTTTTCGTCGTTTTGTATATTTCACTGTAATCGGAGTCAAATCATATCTATGATACACACGAATTCAATTGAGATCATAAGGTTAGGCATATTATGCAGTCAATGAGATGACGATCATTACCGGAACCAAATGGCAGGCATAGCAATGCCGTGATGTGTGAATGCGATATGACTTTTGTAAGCGTATGTGTATTGGAAACTATGGACGTAATGCCCACTGAGGTCTTCGTAGATCGTCGGCACGATCTTCATGTGATACTCATGTGATTCTTGCGCTGCAATAGTTTCATATTAATAGCAAACCGTTTGCCGGTATTATGATTGTTATAACACATGACACTTACACTGAGCGCCAGTTTTGTCCATTTGGTTAGAGTCCATTAATATATGATTATCCGAGTCAACTCCCGTAAAAAATGGAGATTTGCCTGAAATGTCATTTGAAATTAATTCATTAATACACAAACTGACAGTTATATTATAATCACTAAAAAACAATTAGGAAAAACCACAGTTTAAAAAGTAATAAGAAATTTAACGATTTGTTTATTAATAATAATAAGTACCTCTACGACGTCCAAAATTTCTGGCCGCTTGTAATGCAAATAAATACTCTTATTATAAAATCTTTAAAATTTTCATCATATCTATTCTGCTTGTAATTTATAACCATTATTTAGTTAAATAAACTAACGTAACTCCTTTAAAACTATTTTGAATTCATATTCATAGCTCAATAATAAGTAGATGACAATAAACAAATATTCAAATATAATGCTTACCTCTGAAGTATTTTTTATTTCCAGAAAAGTCATCAAAAGATGTAAATGACGGGCCTTTCAAAGCAATTATTCAAACATTAGTTCATTCAGAATTTTAACTTTAAATATATTGTGTTTAAAAGTGTTCATTAAACCATTAAATTTATAATCATTTACTTAAAAATGAAGTATCAACTATATTACAATAAATGGTACTGAATTAAATTAATTACTAAATATAGACAACGAGGTTTTTACTACTTAATTCATAAGATAGTGTAATGTTGTGGACTAGAGTTAATAATAAATAAATAAAATATCATAGATTTCAATATGATTGAACCAACAACCATATAAATTAGTCAAAAGAAAATCATTTGACAAATAATTAAAAATATGAGTAATGTACCATATTTAAAGCAATAAAATATGATATAAGTATCGATTGAAATTAATTTTAAAAACTTTACGAACAAAATTTAAGATATACCGGTACTCATTACAAGTAAGTGATAAATGTTTAAATCTCGAAATTTAGAAATTATTATTATACCGGTATATTTGATTTATAAACAGTAATAACTTTCAAAAATTTATAATCTGGTACAAACAAATTGTAATCGAACACCGTTGCAAATTTATAAGATATTCATAAATACAAATTACAATTACAAGTATTATTTCTTATTTAAATTTTTAAAAATCACCCCTGTTAACTAAATTATAATTTACAGTATAAGATATTACAATTATAAAATTA